CTCCTAAACATAGTTCGCATCACTCAAATGCACCATCTGATGTATATTTTGTGCGGCCTCAAACAGTGCATCTGATGTGTGATCCCGGATTTCAGGTAATCAGATCAATCAAGAAAATTATTTGAATCATCTGGATGAAACGTATCACGTCGACCTCGAAATTCGCATTATCGGTTAAGAAGCCAAGAAGGATGACAGGAGTGAAGCAGATGGTGCTGCACGACCAGGTTCATAACGCGGTACAATTTTATGTCGATCCTCGTATTGCAATTGATATGAACAACTTGTTCACTGAAAGTCAACCATGTGATGTCGCTCATCGAGTTCTGTCCTATTGTGCATTCCTGATCAAAACATCAGTACCGATGAAGCATTTCCGACGGCTCGGTCAAGTGTATTGTACGATGCATTTGGATCCAGAAAATCATAATTTCCGTCCAACAGATACGCAAAAACCCGAAAATAAAGTAACTGGTGGAACTCGACGACTGTTATCAATCAGTTCAGTTTCAGGTCACGTTCGGCATTCTGAAGGAACGCAAAATTGTAGCTCGTCGAGTTCAATCGCTCAGTGCTCACGGATTTGGAATTTCTTTCCCTTCCTCAGCATATTTCGGAATAAGCAAAGAACCGTCTGATGTATTTTTGTGTGCGGCCTCAAGCAGTGCATCTGATGTGTGTAATATGATGTTGATCCTCGCATTGCAATTGAAAATAACAATTTGTTCGCTCAAAGTCAACCATGTGATGTAGCTCGTCGAGTTCTGTGCCATGGTGCATTTTTGATCAAAATATCAGAAGGGATGAAGCATTTCAGGCGGCTCGATCAAGTGTGTTGTACGATGCATTGGGAACGAGAGATTCATATTTTCGGTCCAACGGATACGGAAAAACACGAAAGTGATTTAGTTGATGGAACTCGCAGTTTGTTTTAAATCAGTTCATTCTCATGTCTCGTTCGGCTTTAGGAAATTACGTAGCTCGTCGTGTTGATTCGCACAGTGGCCATCGATTTTCAATTTCTCTTTTCCTCCCTAAACATAGCTCGGATTAAACGAGTGAACCGTCTGTTGTATTTTGTATGCGGCCTCCAGCAGTGCATCTGATGTGTGATCAGGTCAGATTCAGGTCAAAAGATCAACGAAGAAAAATATTTGAATCATTTGGATGAAGAGAAGGAAGCCGATCTCGAAATTCGCATTTTCGGTTCAGAAGACAAGAAGGATCAGAGAAGTGAAGCAGATGGGGCTGAACGACCAGGCTCATCACGCGGGGTTCTTATATGTCAATTTTTGCATTGCAGTGGAAAAGATCAGTTTGTTCAGTCAAAGTCATTCATGTAATGTAGCTCGTCGAGTTCTGTCCTATGGTGCATTCCTGATCAAAACGTCAGAAGGGATGAAGCATTTAAGGCTGCTCGGTCAAGTGTATTCTACGATGCACTTGTATCCAGAAAATCATATTTCCCGTCCAACGGATACGGAACAACACGCAAGTGAAGAAGATGATGAGAGAAAATTGCAAATCGATGGGCAGTGTGCGAATGATTTCGGGGAGCTGCAATTTTGAGTTCCTTCCAAATGCTGAACGTGGCATCAAACTAACTGATTTATACCATCGTCGACTTCCATTATCTGCTTCACGTTCATGTTTTTCCGTAGCCGTTGGACGGAAAATATGATTTTCTGCATCCAAATGCATCGTAGAAGAAACTCGATCGAGCCGCCAGAAATGCTTCAGCCCTACGAATGATTTGATCAGAAAATCGGAGGAACACGAAAGTAAAGAAGATGAAGGAGCTGGACGATTGCTATAAATCATTCAGTTTAATTCCACGTTCGGCCCTTCGCAAGAACGCAAAATTGTAGCACGTCGAGTTGATTCGCACAGTGCCCATCGATTTGCAATTGCTTTTTTCCCTCCGAAACATAGTTCGGATTTCTGAAATGAACCGTATGATGTATTTCTGTGTGCGGCGTCAAGCAGTGCATCTGATGTGTGATCAGGTCAGATTCAGGTCATAAGATCAACCAAGAAAAGTCTCTGAATCATCTGGATGAAGTGTATCACGCCGATCTCGAAAATCGCAATTTCGGTTCAGAAGACAAGCAGGATCACAGAAGTGAAGCCGTTGCTGCTGCACGACCAGGTTCATCACGCGGTGCAATTTTCGGTCGATGCTCGCATTGCATTTGAAAAGAACAATTTGCTTACCGATAATCAGCCATGTGATTTAGCAAGTGGATGAATGCAAAATGGTGCGTTTCTGATCAAAACACCAGTCTGGATGAATCATTTGTGGCGGCTCGGTTAGGTATATTGTACGAAGTATTTGGATCCAGAAATTAATTTTTCCCGTCCAACGGATACGGAAAATCACGAAAGTGAAGTAGATGATAGAACTCGACGGTTGCCATAAATCAGTTTCGTTTCAGGTCACGTTCGGCATTTGGAAGGAACCGAGCATTGTACCTCATCGAGTTGATTTGCAAAATGCTTATCGATTGGCATTTTCCGTTTTTCTTCGAAAACATAGTTTGGATCACTGAAATGAACCGTATGATATATTATTGATTACGCCCTCATACAGTGTATCCGATGTGTGATCAGGTCAGGTTCAGGTCAAAAGATCAACCGAGAAAAATATTTGAATCATCTGGATCAAGTGTATCACGCCGATCTCGAAAATCGTATTTTCGTTTCAGAAGACATGATGGACCGAAAAAGTGAAACAGATGGTGCTGCACGACCAAGTTCATCACGCGGTGCAATTTGATGTCGATCCGCGCATTGCAATTGCAAAGAACAACTTGTTCACTCATAATCAACCATGTGATGAAGCTCGTCGAGTTCGGTCCTTTGGTACCTTTCTGATCAAAGCATCAGTAGGGATGAAGCATTTCAGGCGGCTCGATCAAGTGTATTGTACGATGCATCTGGATCCAGACTTTATTTTTTTCCGTCCAACGAATAAGGAAAAACACGAAAATGAAGTAGATGATATAACTTGACGAATGTCATAAATAAGTTCAGTTTTGGTCACCTTCGGCCTTGAAATGGAAAGAAAATTTTAGGTCATCGAGTTGAATCACACAGTGCCCATCAGTTTGACATTTCATTTTCCTATCCTAAGCATTGTTCGGTTCACTCAAATGAACCGTCTGATGTATTTTTGTATGCGGCCTTAATCAGTGCATGTGATGTCTGATCAGGTCAGATTCAGGTGAAAAGATTAACCAAGAAAAATATTTGAATCCTATGGATCAATTGTATGACGCCGATCTCGAAATCCGCATTATCGTTTCAGAAGACAATAAGGACTATGAAAGTGAAGCAGTTGGTGCTGCTTGACCAGGTTCATCAGGCGGTACAATTATTTGTCGATCGGCGCATTGCAATTGAAAAGAACAATTTGTTCACCCATAACCAACCGTGTGAAGTGGCTTGTCGAGTTCTGTCTTATGGTGCATTTCTGATCAAAACATCAGTGGGGATGAAGCATTTCAGGCGGCTCAATCTAGTGTATTGTGCGGTGTATTGGGATGCAGAAAATCATATTTTCCGTTCAACGGATACGGAGAAACACGAACGTGACGTACGTGATGCAACTGGACGATTGCTATAAATCAGTTTAGTATCAGGTCACGTTCGGCATATGGAAAGAACGCGAAATTATATCTCGTCGAGTTGATTCGCAAAGTGCCCATTAATTTGCGATTTCGTTTTCCTTCCGAAGAAATGTTGGGATTACTCATTTGAACCGTCTGATGTATGTTTCTGTGCGGACTAGAATATTGCATCTGACTTGTGATCAGGTCAGATTCAGGTCAAAAGATCAACCAAGAAAAATATTTGAATCATCTGGATGCAGTTTACCACTCCGATCACCAAAATCTCATTTTGGGTTCACAAGACAAGAAAGATCAGAGAAGTGAACCTGATGGTGCTGCACGACCAGGTTCATCACGCGGTGCAATTTGATGTCGATTGGAATTGAAAAAAGTATTTTTTTCACTGAAAATCAGCCCTGTGATATAGGTCGTCGAGTTCTGTCATATGGAGAATTTCTGATCAAAACATCAGTAGAGATGCTGTTTTCCAGGCGGCCCGGTAAAGTGTATTGTACCGTGCATTTGCATCCATAAAAATCATAACTTCAGTCCAAC